GGCAGTCGTTGTCACGTGGATATCACTGACGGCGACGATCCACCGATCATAGCGACTGCAGCATCTGCCAGCGGCATCGGCGCCCACGGCGACGACGACAACGGTTGGAATGACGGCTCACGATGTCGATTGCGAAGGTGACCGCGATGGCGGGCGCGACGGCGATGGCGACGATGACGACGACGACGGCGACGATGACGATGACGGAGATGATGATGGTTATCATGGCGTTGTCGTCGATGATGACGCTGTCGTCGATGACGATGGCGAGGGCCTTGACGATGACGACGACGGCGACGACGACGATGACTAATCGGATGAACGGGCGGCCGTCCGCCGCGGCAGAAGCGGACGGCCGGCCGAGGCCGCGGCAAACGCCCAGGATCCACACTGCGGCCTCTGCTGAGAGAAGGCCTGCGTTGCAGAGATCTTCTCAGCAAAGGCGCCCGGGTGCCTCTGCAGAGAGGGCGTGGGTCTGCCTCCGGGATCGTCGGCGGCTGGGCTTGCTGAGACGACGCCCTCCAAATGGAGCTTGTCTCATCAGATCCAGCGACGATCCCAGGGTCAGACCCACTTCCACTCAGCAGTGGCACCCGGGTGCCCCTGCTGAGAAGACTCCTGCAGCGCAGGGTTCATCTCAGCAGAGGCCGATCTCAGGCGTTTGCCGCACCACGTCTGCTGAGAACGCGTAGGACGTGGCGAACGCCTAAGACCCAAGGGGCAGGAAGCGCGATCGGAAGCGAAACGCTTTTGGTGTTGGCTGTATCTTCTGTTGAGATACCGATGCCGATCATGGCCCGGTACCGGTGCCGATACCGGCATCGGTACTGGCATCGATACCAGTACCGTCAGGAGCAGCGCCTTTCTTAGCACCAACATCAACACAATCCTTGCGGGAATATGGAGGAAAAAGGGGGAGCGGGAAGGATCATGAGGACGAGGAGGAGAGCCTGCAAGGAGGAGCAAGAGGGGTTGGGGGGGATATGGAGGAGGCAGCAGCAGGAGGACCAGGACAAGGAGGAAGACGAGGCGGAGAAGCAGCACCAACAGACCGATTTATAGCCTCAGTCCAGTATCCCCAACAACGATTTTGAGGCAGGATGGCTCCACATATTGCTGATTTGCTTGCGCCCTTGTCGCCATCACTGTCGTCGTCATTGCTGACGTCGTCCTCGTTGCCATACCTCTTGCCCTCTCCCCCTCCCATGCATCCCTCCTGCTTTTTCTCCTCCCCCTCCTTCTCCTCCCCCGACTCATTCCATTCCTCATTATCCTCGTCGTTATTATTCCCCCTTTCTCTTCTTCTCCTCATTATCGTCATCGTGCTCCTGCTGTTCTTCCCCTGGTTCTTCTCGCCCCTCGTACTCCTGGTTCTCCTCTTCACCCTCCAAGTTCTCCTCTCGCTGGAGATGTCAACATGTAGTAACTAAGGCATGGCGCCCCCCCGCCTGAGACTTCCACATGACTCAGAAATCATGCTCTCGCCTCGGCGCCGGCTAACTGCTCCTTCGGGGCAGGGGCGCCTGGACCCCTCCTGGGGCAAAATTCGGTATTAGCAGGGTAATGTAACAGGTAGCTTGGGCCTGGCCCCGTCTGACTCCTCTCCCCACCCCCTGGGGGCCCAGTTGTGAGGATGTCCCAGGCAAACTGACTGGACTACCTCGCGCGCTGAATCTCGGAGCGAGTCCAGAGTTGCGAGGAGGTCTGAAGCGAAATTGGCCCGACCCCAGAGTTCCGAGGATGGATCAAGCGAATCTGGCCCGAGAACCTCGAGCGCATCATATCTGAGCCCGGAGTTGCGGGGACGCATCAAGCGAAATTGGCCAAACGACCTCAGGCGCGGCATGTCTGAGCCCAGAGTTGCGAAGACGTCTCAAACGAAATTGGCCAAACCACTTCAAGTCAGGAGCATCTCGGAGCCCAGAGTTGCGAGGATGTCTCAGGCGAACCGGACCGGACAACCTCGCGCGTCGCAACTTCGATCCTAGAGTTGTGAGGATGTCTCGGGCGATACGGTCCAGATCACCTCAGGCCACAACAATTCAATTCTGAGACCAGACTTGCGAGGATGTCTCAGGCGAAATCGGCCAGACCACCTCGCGCGCGGCATCTCTGAGCCTGGAGTTGCAAGGATGTATCAGGCGGAACGGACTGGACCAGCTTAGGTCAGAGTAAATCTGAGCCCGCGCGCGACATCTTGCAGCCCAGAGACGTCGCATGCAAAATCCGCCGGACCACTTCGCACGCGGTCTCTCGGAGCCAAGAGTTGCGAGGACGTGTTAGGCGAGCTTGGCTGGACCACCTCGCGCCTGGCAACTCGGATCCCAGAATTGCGGGCATGCCCCGGGCGACCTGGGCCGGACCAACTCAGGTCGGGCCATATCTAGGCCAAGAGTTGCGAGGATGTCCAGGGCGAATCAGACCAACTCAGGTCAGAGCATTTCCGATCCCAGAGGTGCAAGGATGCCTCTGGCGAAAATGGGCCAGACCACCTCGCGACAGGTATATATGAGCCGAGAGTTGTGAGGATGTCTCAAGCGAAATGGGCCGGACCACATCAAGCCAGGACATATATGAGCCCAGAGTTGCTGAGATCCTCAGGATAGCCTGGCCGCACCTCTTCACGCGCGGCATCTAGGAGCCCAGAGTTGCGAAGATGTCTCACGCTAAATTGAGCAGACCACCTCGCGCGCGGCATCTCGCAGAGTTGGGAGGACATCTCAGGCGAGAGTGTCTGAAGTAGAATTGTCCAGATCACCTCGCGCGCGGCATGTCTGGGCCTAGAGTCGTGAGGATGTCTAAGGCGAAGCGGGCTGGACCTCCTCAGGTTAGGGGCATATCTGAACCCAGAATTGCGAAGATGGCGAAACGGACCGGACCACTTCGCGCGTGGCATCTTGGATTCCAGAGTTGCGAGGATGTATCAGGCGAAATGGGCCAGGCCATCTTGCCCCCGGCAACTCGGAGCCCAGAGTTGCGACGACCTCTCAACGCAATGTAATGCAGTGCCGTGGGAAGTGACGCAACAGAAATGCAATGCCATGCGTTGTAATGCAATGCCATGCAATGCAACGCAAAGGCACTCCATGCAATGGGATGAGACAGTGGCTTCCGCTGCGTGGGATGCGGGATAGAGATAGAGAGGGAAAGGAAGAGCACGGAAGAGGAGGTGTAGTTGTTTTTCCAGAGCTCCCCATGCAACTTGGCATGAACCAGTGTGCAACACCAGTAGCAGGAGGCAGGGCTGGCAACAGGATCAAGCAAACGAAGCGCATTTAACAGGCTAGAAGCTCACTTAGCAGGAAGAGGACGCTTTCGGCGACGGCGGCGGCGACGGCGGCGGCGACGACGACCGACGACGACGGCCGCCGAAGGCCGCCGATGCAAAGGAGGAGGAGGAGGAGGAGGAGGAGGAGGAGAAGGAGGAGGAGGAGAGGGAGGAGGAGGTGACAAGGAAAAGGGGGGGGAGGAGGAGGAGGAGGAGGAGGAGGAGGAAGATGAGGAGGAAAAGGAGGAAGTGGTAGGACGTGACAAGAGGAAGGATGGGGAGGAGGACAGGAGGAGGAAGTGGAGGAGGAGGAGGACGAGGAGGATGACGAGATGAAACACACGACCAGCAGCAGAAAGCGGAGCTGGCAACAGGATCAAACACATCGGGAGCCCACTTAACAAAACAGAAGCCCAGTTAGCAAGAACACGACTTAAGAGGACCCCCAAGATGACTCGGGGATGGGCCGAGGGCCCTCTAGACAGCCACAGAAGACCCCGAAACAACCCAGAAAGGCCCCAGGACGGCAATAAAACGGTCCCGACCCAATGAAGGAAATGCTTGCGTGTCTTCAGGCGCCTCCCCCCTCGCCGCGGCTGGACACAACTCGAAGGAACATTGTGTTCTGACCCTGAGCCGAAGACCAGATGCATATCTTGATGGACCTCCGGAGGTCGGAGGACACTGCCCTTGTGAAAGCGGCCACTCGGGACCGCTGGGGCTCTGTGGGGCCCTCCTTTTTTTTGACGACCCCAGACAACCCCAGTTACTTCTTTTGATGCTTGAGGGCACTACGCCTCATGACCCAATGTCGGGCACTTCAAGCCACCTTCCGCGGCCTGCAGCGGCCCGCCCAGGCTGAAAAGCCTCAGCCGCAACAGCAGTGACACTCACACGGGGGGAGCAGGAGGAGGAAGAGGAGAACTGCACAGCGGCCTGCTAGCTCCACGCACGCGAGAGAAAAGGGTGGCGACGAGCCGCAACTCGCAACCGAGCTTCAAAGTGCTCCTCTGGAGTTCCTGGGGCGCCTTTGCGCCTGGCGGAGTGGGCAGACAGGAACGCACCGATACAGGCAGCAAAGAAAACATTCGACGAGCGTGGTGAGGGTGAAAGCAATAGTGAGGGGAAGAGCCAGGGGAACCCCTCAGGAAACGACGGCGATGAAGGAAGAATGTGTCCGAGCCAGTGATGAAAAAGATGAAAGAGTCGTGGGCAGTGGGCATAGTGAGCAACAGAGTCCAAATCTCGTGCCTGCGCGTGTGGGCACCCCAGGAGGCAGCCTTTCGCTGCGGAGTGGAAACAGGTCGAGGTGCAGACAGACCTCGATAAGAATCTGAGGACCGAGACAATCATGTACGGCCGTGTTTTCTGAATCACGAAAGAGGCATTAATATAGAACCTGTCAATCATCTCTCGGCGGATAAGGGGAAACCATTTCTGGATACGACGTTGAAGGATATTGGGTGGATGTTCCCGACTCGACGTGTTTGCCCATAGCATAATATATAACCGATGTTGTAGTTTTTTGTGTTCAGAGGGTATGCGTGCGAGAACAGCAGGGGATGATGGACCTGACGGGGTACGCGGTAGTCTGAAATACCACTCATACAGCCGGCGCATATACGAAAGAAATGATGAATTCCACCATCCACTGCAGAAGCGCACGAAGGTACTTTCAGGTTCGCCCCGCAGGGCTTCCAGCCTCGATAACGTGGCGCTGAAAGTGCTGCTGCGGATAATATAGCGAAGGCAAGTAGCACGAGCGAGGGTCTGAAGGTCGGGAAACTCCACAGGAAGATGGAAGCTGGCCAACTGCGCGCATAGGACGTATGACAGCGAGTTACGTGGACCAGCCGTGAAATACATGACCGCCTCCCTATACATGTGGATAAGAGCAGGGGAAACAGGATGAATTTGAAGAGTGAAGGACAAGATGGGTACACACATGACTTTGGAGGCCAGCACTGAGCGTGCGAGACCGAGGCCCAGCTGTCGAGTGATCCCGACTCGTCGGCGAATCTTGGGGGCGGCCTCGCTCCATGCAGTCATCTCGGCCCCACGGCCGATCTAAATACCTAAGTATTTGACAACCTCAAGGACCTGGATCTTTTTGAACTCACCCACGAGCAACCGAACAGCGTCCCTCAGGAGGTTCACATCTATGGAGCCCACGACCAGAATCTGACACGTTTTGAAGCTGAGCCTGAGACCCGCAATTTTTTTCGAGCCGCGTAAACAAGGCGAAAACAAGGCCCAGAGAACGGAAGATGTCAATGACTCCGAAGAAGAAATCATCGGCATAGGCGAACGTCCTGTCGATGTGCGCCGACGCCTTGAAACGAACCCATCGAAGAGGGTCAGCAGCAAGAACAAATAGAAACATGCTACTCGGGCAACCCTGTTTGACACCACTGGCCATGATAAACTCTCCATGGGTCCTCCCTCCAAAGCAGATAATGGCAGTATTAGAAGTGTAGAGAAGCCTGAGAAGCTTGCAAAAACTTGCATAGAGGAGGAGGAGGAGGAGAAGGAGGAGGTGGTAGGACGTGACAAGAGGAAGGATGGGGAGGAGGACAGGAGGAAGAAGTGGAGGAGGAGGAGGAGGACGAGGAGGATGACGAGAAGAAAAACAGGACCAGCAGCAGGAGGCGGAGCTGGCAACAGGATCAAGCACATCGGGAGCCCACTTTGGGGCCCTCCTTGGGCCGTCTTGGGATTCGCTCGGGCCATCTGGAATCCTCCTTGGGCCAATTTGCGGCCAATTTCGGCATGCCTTCTCGTTGTGAAGAAACCGGCATCACTCTCCCGCGACTTCCAAAAGCTGTGGTACACGGTACCTCGAGGGAAAAAAGAAGGGGTCGGCGGATGTGGCGTAAGTCTATAGAATCAAAACATCGTCCCCTGACTATGTTTTGACCAGTTTTGAATATTCCCCCTGTCGAGAGACACGCCCGACTTGATATTTGGGGCCTCTTTGGGCCCTCCATTGGCCATGGGAGTTTCTTCGGAACCTGCCGGCGGCCTCGGGGCTCCTGTGGGGGGCGGGAAGCTCGAAATTCGAGCTCGGTTTCCCCCTCTCGGGCCGCTCTTGGGTCTCTCTTGGGCTGTCTCGCGAACTTCTTGAGCCCTCTTACAGCCCTCATAAGCTGACTTGGGGCTGCCTTGAGGACCTCTCGGGCCGTCTTGGGGGTCTCTTGGGTTGTCGTAGGCATCGTTCACTTCAGGAACGAATCCGGCCAACAAAAAAAGATTGCCTGAACGAGACCATATGTTTGCTTCCCGCGGTCCTCTTGGAGGTCCCCCTGGGCAAGCATCGTGCTGCGAGTCCGCCACATGCTTGTGTAGCAGGTACGCCGCGCCCGAGCCCCATTTCAGTGGTGTCTCCTCGCCCAAGCGCCCGGAGACATGCTGAGACACTGAGTGGCCAGTATCAGATGCCAGGCGAAGGCTGGCAAACCCGTGGCTGCTAAAATAGGCTGAATTGCCCTCTTTGGCTGAATTCCCCTACAACAGTACGCCATCTCGCTCGAAGGCCTCGACATCTTCGAAAGGGATACTGTTGCGTCGCAGGTCGATCCTCTGCAACGCGGGGTTGGCCTTGAAGGCCTCCGCCAAGGCATTGGCACCCTCGGCGCCGATATGGTTGTTCCACAGGTGGATCTCTTCCAACGCGGTGTTGGCCTTCAAGGCCTCCGCCAAGGCCTTGGCGCCCTCGGCGCCGATATGGTTGTCGCTCAGGTTGATCCCCCGCAACGTGGGGTTGGCCTTCAAGGCCTCCGCCAAGGCCTTGGCGCCCTCGGCGCCGATATGGTTGTCGCTCAGGTCGATCCTCTGCAACGTGGGGTTGGCCTTCAAGGCCTCCGCCAAGCCCTTGGCGTCGTCATCGCCCAGATTGTTCCCATCCAGCCAAAGGGACTCCAGGCGCCCTGCGTGGCCCCTCAGAACGTCGAGGAAGTAGACGAAGCCGTGCTCCCCAAGTGGCCTCCCACAGCTGAATTTGCTCAGGCGCAGGTCTTCGGCGTTGTCGTCGATGAGAAGAATGGCGGCGTAGAGCAGGGGAAAGCTATTTCTGGTCGCCAGCACACGGCACTTCGTCGGGTCTCGGAGGCCATGGTCCTTCAACGCGAAGGCGAGGAGCCATCCGCCCTCCTCCATAAGGGGCTTCAAGAAGCGCTGCACCTTGTTGGCGTTCCCCTTGCTCGCGGCGAAGAACAGCTCCTCCACGATCCACG